TTATAAGAGTTATTGGTTTACTTTAATAATCCTAACCTGGACTTAAATTCTAGACTAGTTTGCATTTAGCACTTAACTACAAGTCAGTTTGAAAGTTAAGTTTATTTCAGATTTAGTCAAACAGCTCCACACTTGAGAGGTAGCTGCAGTTAGTTAAATAGTTTGAGTTAGTTTTGCCAGCCAGCCAATGCTGACTGATTTATAGAACTTTAGCTACTCTAAATAGAGATCACTCAGCTGCATAAGTGGAGGGCAAAGAAGTGCGGAAAGGCAGGAGTTTTAACAGTCAATTACCATAGCTTTGACTCCAGGATAGCATGTTGCCTGTCCATCCATTCCCTGGCCTCACTGCTGCAAGGACCCAGGATGTCCCTAAGTGGCTGCAGGATATTTGTTTGTGGAGGCTGAACAAGCTGACATTATGATACCCATCACCATTGATGATAGAGATAGACAGAGGGATGAGGTCCTGAAATTACAGTTTAGGAAGCAAGGAAAGAATTTGAAAAGCAGGCCCATTAAGACAATAATTTCAGATTTCCTCCCAGTACCATGTGCTATTAAGGATAGAAATAGTAAGATTGAGTGAATGTGTGACTGCAGGAATGGAATCAGAGGGAGGGCATTAGATATCTAGGCATTGGGGCCAGTTCTAGGATATGTGAGACCTGTCCAAGGAGGATACATTGCATCTTAGCTGGTCCTGGAGAACCATAATGAGAAAATTTGCTAGTGCAGTTAGGGAGGGTTTAATCTAGTTTGACTGGGCTTTGGGAGCTTCGGAGGAATGCTTGTAGAAGATAAACAATCACATGAGGTAGAAATATAGTAAGCAAAAGTGGAAAGAAGCAGAAACAAAAATCAACCTCAAATAGAGTCAAAAGACAGAATGATGTTAACAAGGTGGAATTAAAAGCACTCTATTTCAATTCATGCATTTGCAACAGAATTGTGTTCTGAAAAAGGATCACTTCGACCTAAAATGTTATCCCTAATTTCTCTCAACAGATGCTGCGAAACCTGCTGAGTTTTTCTGACAATTTCTGTTTTTGTCCCTAATCTTTCTGTTCATTGTGTTGGTATTTCATCTTCAACTGATGTTGCCTAGTTCACAACTCACAAATACTTCCATGGGAATGCATTTTTCCTGGTTCCTATGAAAATCTCACATCATTCAAAAGCAAGTTTGATTTTGCAGTACATGATCTCATGTCCTCTTCTTCTTCAGAGTTGGGAACTGCTGGCCTGATATGTAGCTTCCTGGATGACTTCAAGGACACATTCCCCCGGGAGGGCAGAAGTAAGTTGAATCAGCTTTCGAGAGTGTTTAAACTCCATTGGTACATTCTGCAAGCTTTCTCACTGACTCTAGTTATTCAACATTTTTGAGCCTGGTGTGATCAGGAAATGCTTCTGACCAGTTATAAAACTTACAGATTTACATATAGGGACTGCTGCTGTGCTTTTTGTTCATGAGATATCAGAGGAGTTAGCATTGGGAGAGGGAGTCTGTTGGAATAACTGTACTTTCTAATGTTGTAAACCTGGTTTTCTTACTAACAGGGCACAGACTTGATGCTAGAGGCATGGCGATTAGCACTGCTGCCTCAGTGTCAGGGGCCCAGCTTCAATTCCAGCCTTGGGTAACCGTGTGGAGTTTTCATGTTCTCTCAGGGCCTGTGTGGGTTTCCTCTGGGTGCTCCAGTTTCCTCCCACAGTCCAAAGACGTGCAGGTTTGGTGGCTGGCCATGCTAAAGTTGCCCGTAGTGTTCAGGCCAGGTGGATTAGCCCTGGTAAATATGGGATTATGGGGATTGGGTGGGATGTAGTTCAGACAGTCAGTGCAGACTTGATGGGCCATATCGTCTCTATTTGCATTGTAGGGATTCTATACTACCTTATCATAGATTATTCACTTGTATGCCTTGACACTTACTCGGAATGGTGCAGGAGCCAGCAAATAGCAGATCAACATCCTGGTGCTTACTATCTACCAGAATCTGAACTGAACCTGCCATAAAAATACAGTGGCTACAAGAGCAGTTCAGGGGATAGGCATCCTACAGAGAGTAGCTGAATGCCTGATTCCCCAAAGCCTGTCCATCATCTACAAGGCTCAAATCAGGACCATGGTAGAATAATCCCAACTTGCCTGGATGAGTAGAGCTCCAACAATACTCAAGAAATGTGAAATCATCCAGGTCAAAGCAGCCTGCTTGATTGGCATCGCATCCACCACCTTAAATACCATCTACAATCACGCTGCAGAAATTCGTCAACACTCCTTCAAATTTGACAGCATCTTCCATACCCTTAATCCCCTTGATGGACAGGGACAGTTGAAACATGGGAAAACAACCATTTGCAAAACATTGCCCTTCAAACTCTATCTGAGCTATTTGTTAAATCTCCATTTAACCTTCTCTGCTCCAAGCAGCACAAATAGTTGCTGGAGTTTCTACAAAAGTTTCCTAACCTGTACTGATGGTCTCACTATGTATCATCAACTCTAAATGGGTCTTTCTCCACATCATGCATTGGGCCCCACTGTCAAGACAAGCATACCCGCTTCTTAATTCTGAGACCTTCTGGCAGGTATTTTAAGACCTTTGACACCTTTTACAAGTGTGCTGTGTTTAAGAATTGAGATAACAATTACAGATGCATAACTATTATATTACCATTAGCAATTGCGGTCCCTTTCACAGAGCTAACCACCTTTAACAAATATGATCTCTTTAAATTCTGTTGCATCTCTAACAGGCGGGATCATTCTGAAAGAACGAAAAAAATTGCAATTGCATACCACTTCACCCAAGCTCAGAATATCTCAAAGCAGTTGCTAGTCAATGAAATACTTTTTGAAGTTCAGTCATTTTTACAAAGTAAGAAATGCAGCTGTCAAATTACATACAGCAAGATTCCACAAACTACAATGTGATGTTCAATAGATAGTTTGTCTTACTCATGATGTTAGATGAGGAATAAATATTTGCCAGGACATGAAGGACATCCACAGTCTTGATCAAAACAGTACAATGGGATCATAATCATTCACCTGAGAGGGCAATAGCTTAATACCTCAGTCAGAAGTCAGCACCTTTAACATCTCTGCTGTTGCACTTAAATGCCTTCCTAGTTGTGGATGAATCTCTGGAGTCGAATTTGAACTGACTATTCTTTGACTCAGAGGCAGAAGACCTTTGCTCTGAGCCACGGCTAACACCTGAACAGGGTGAGCTCATTAAGGGGTGTGACACTGTAAACTGTTATAGTGCATTTAAGAAGGTTGTCACGCTTTTGTTGGTGTGACCCCTTTAGTAGATGTGGTAGCCAACAGTTGGGGGGATTTTTAGCACATTATGACACAGTAGACAAAAAGGAGTTTTTCTCGTTGATGGAGGGATCAATGACCGGGTGCATATGTTTAAGGTAAGGGACCAAGATTTAGAGGAGCTGTGAAGAAAACCTTTTTCACTCAAGGGGCGGTGGGAATCTCAAACTCACTGACTGTAAAGGTGGTAGAGGCAGAAAGAAGGTTAGATCACATGAAATACAGAGAGAACTAGCCAGTTAGAAACAGAACTAGCTGGAAGGTAGAAGACAGAGGGTTGCTTTTTGGTCTGGAGGCCTGCGACCAGTGGTGTCCCACAAGGATCAGTGCTGGTTCCGCTGCTTTTTTTCATTATATAAATGATTTGGATGTGAAGAGAGGAGGTATGGTTAGTAAGTTTGCAGATGACATCAAAATTGGAGATGAAGTGGACAGCCACGGTTACCTTAGAACACAATGGGACCTTGATCAGATGTGCCAATGAGCTGAGGAGTGGCAGATGGAGTTTAGTTTAGATAAACGTAAGGTGCTGCATTTTGGAAAGGCAAATCAGGACAAAAATTATACACTTAATGGTAAGGTCCTGGGGAATGTTGCTGAAAAAAGTGACCTTGGAGTGCAGGTTCATACCTCCTTGAAAATGGAGTCCCAGGTCAACAGGATAGTAAAGAAGGTATTTGGTATGTTTGCCTTTATTGGTCAGTGCATTGAATATAGGAATTGGGAGGTCATGTTTCAACTGCACAGGACATTGTTTAGGCCACTTTTGGAACACTGCATGCAACTCTGGTCTCCCTGCTATAGGATGTTGTGAAATTTGAAAGGGTTCAGAAAAGATTTGCAAGAATGTTGCCAGGGTTGGAGGGTTTGAGCTATAGAGAGAAACTCAATAGGCTGGGGCTATTTTCTCCAGAGCATAGGGGACTGAGGAGAGACCTTATAGAGGTTCATAAAATCACGAGGGGCATGGATAGGGTGAACAGCTAAGGTCTTTTCCCTGGAGTGGGGAAGTCCAAAACTAGAGGGCATAGGTTTAAGGTGAGAGGAGAAAGATTTAAAAGGGACCTAAGGAGCAACATTTTCTCACAGATGATACGTGTATGGAATGAGCTTCCAGAGGAAGCGGTGAGGTCTGATACAATTAAAACATTTAAAAGACATCCGGATGGGTATATGAATATGAAGAGTCTAGAGGGATACGGGCCAAATGTTGGCAGATGAGATTAGGTTAGGATATCTGGTCAGCATGGACGGGTTGGACCGGAGGGTCTGTTCCCATGCTGTACATCTCTATGACTCTAAGTATTTAGATGTACACTTGTGATGCCAAGGCATATTAGGCTATGGGCCAAGTACTGGAAAATGGGATTAGAATAGTTTGGTGGTTGTTTTTGACTGGCACAGAGGCGATGGGCTGAAAAGCCTTTTCTCTCTGCCATCAATCTCGATAATTCTATATCCTGTCAGATATGTTAAAGACATTAAAAATATGTCCCTGATGTGCAGAAGCTCAGTGAATGTGGAAATGTATGAGCTGCTGCAGTGTCCCAGCTGGTTCTAACATTCACTTCATACCTTCACAGATTTCAGCTGTCTTCAGCAATGGTCTCCATTCAGAGAAAGTCTTTACTACTTTTCACCTCACAAAGCAACCTGGAAACAAGCCCAAAAAATGTGTAAATTGATGAATGCTGATCTTGTTGTCGTTAACAGCGCTGAGGAACAGGTAGGAAATGTTTGTTCATTCTATTCACTGGACATCAAATTTCAATTGGATTTACAGCAGTTCCATTGTTCCTCCCAAAATAAAGGAGCTGAATCTGCCAGGAACATGTACCATAATAATGACATATCAATGGTGTGCTCATTATTCAAATAGCAAATAATGTAGCAAATTACAAAAAGTTCTTGTTGCCACATGACAAGAAGAATGTAGAGGCTTTGAAGAGGGTACAGAAAACGTTTACCAGGATGTTGCTTGGTTTGGAGGGTATTAGCTATGAGGAGGGATAAGACAAACTTGGTTTGTTTTCACTTGAATGATAGAAGCTGGGGAGTAACCTGATAGAAGTTTACAAAATTGAGTCGAATGGATTTTTGCCCACTCACTCAACAGAATCTAGGTAACTTACTGTGCCACCTAGCTTGACATCAATGGCAAATTCAGCTACCATACATTAGCCCACACATTAATGTATACAATACAGATTGCAAATTATTGAATCTGCAACAATGATCAAACTGTGGCACTCTACTGGTTACAATTTGCTAACTAGAAAAAGACATATTTATCCCTGTTCTCTGTGACCAATCTTCCGAGAAAGCAGAGATGGCATTATCATATGCATACTGAAATTCCATAAACGAGGTCAGAGCTTTTCTTCTATGATTTTAACTGACTGAGATTGAAAAGGTCTCTCTCTATTCTGTAGACAATGCCCATAGCACTGGGAAACTTTTTCTTGACAAATTGAAGAATGGTGTCGATGAAGATGGAGAAAAGAATGTTCAGTATTGTACATGGCATTTCTCTTGGAGTTGCTGAGCCAGTGAAAACTGTGACCATAGTTCCACGGTTTGGTCTGAAGCCACACTAGGTTTCAATCCTCTGAGACTGGGAGGAGACACCCAGCAAGGATTCAGGCAAGGATCTTCCTGGTGATGGAAAGTAGGGCGATCCCTTGGTAGGTCCCACAGTCCACTTTGTCTCCTTTCTTGAACATGGTGCCAGTTGCAGTATCCCTAAGATCAGCTGGGATTTCTTCTTTCTCCCAGATTCTCAGGAACAGTTGACAGAGATGACGAGTAAGCTGTGTTCCTCCCAATTTGAATATCTCTGCTAGAATCCTGTCCACTCTTTTCCATTCTTCATGTGGCCAATGGGGGCTTCAATTTCTGCCACACGAAGGGGGGTCTAAGAGTATCTTTGAAGGGGATTTCCTCAAACATGTCCTTGTTGACAATTACATCACATTTTAAGAGTTCTTTTCAATGCTCTCTCCACTGGAGCCTGACTTTTTTTTTGTCTTTCAAAATGGTGTCATCCTTACTCTGTACCAGTTTGAGGTCAACTGTGCTGGGTCTGTAAATTGCCTTGGTGGCACTGAAGAAACCCAGAGTATCATGCTTGTCAGCAAGGAGTTACAGTTGCTTAGCTTTCTCAATCCATCATTATGTCTTGAGTTCCTTAGTCCTTCTTGTACTCCACCCTTTGCTCGGAGATGACTTCTCTTTGTCACACTGGTGATGTTGTTTTGCCAGGCACAGAGAGATTTCTTCTTCTAGTCAATAAGGTCTTCGATGATGGGTCATTTCTTTTTGAACAAATCTTGGTGTTTTCTCATCTTCAGAATTTGGCTGTCTTAAGCTCTTTCCATATTTCCTGCACTCCATTAAAATGAACTCTTTGGAGATTTTGGTGAAGACATTGTTGGAACTTTGCTAATCTGCTTGGCTCTTGAAGCCACTCAATGTTCAGCTTTTTTCAGAATTGTTTTCTTGTCTTAGGCTGCCTATGGTAGCATTTGATGAACATAGAAGAATGGATGAGCCTGTGGTGTGTGCTGCAGTCATCTGCACTGGTCATTGCTTTGGTAATGTGTACGTCATTTGGTTTCAGGATCGAATGATGATGTAGTCTATCATATGTCAGTGGATGTGATTGTGGATGCCTCACAGAAGTTTTGAATTTGTCTTTTTCGCTGAATAGGGTGTTGATATCCTGCTGGTGATCCGTACATTTGGTGAGCAGGAGAATCCTGTTGCTGTTGTAATTCCTGACTCTTTCCTTTCCAATGGTGGTTGTGCTTTCAGATCTGAGCATTAAATCTCCAAGGGAGATAATTTTATCCTCCTTACGGATGTTGATAAATATGGTACGCAGGGTAGAGTAGAAACCTTCCTTGGACTCATCCATGGCATCAAGGATTGGAGCCTGAGCATTCACGACTGCTGCCTGCTGGCTCTTGGCAAGTTGTAAATGGAGAGTCATGAGGCAATTGTTGATGCCAACAGGGGGCTCCAAGAATCAGTTGATGTGTTCATCTTGATGGTGAGTCCAATTCCATGTACCTTGGGTTGATCATCCAGCTTTCCTCTCCAGAAAAAGGTGTAATCACAACCTTCCTCCGTCAGCTGTCTCTGCCTGCTCTTCGAGTCTTCTGCAGGACGGCGATATCAATGTTGAAATGCCTGAGCTCATGGGCAACAGAGGCAATACTTTTTCCGGACAATGGTTTTGCTCGTTATCCATGAGGGTTCGTACATGCCAGATTCCAATATTGAGTTTGACTTTGGTCTTCAGATCACAGGTAGATGAGCTCACTGGGTGTGGTCTTCCAGCCAGGGTGGTGTTGCAAAAGATTATTTTTAGGACACTTTTTCTACTTCATTCCCCTTGCATAGTGAGCAGAGTGGATCCTGAAGAGACCTGCTCAGTCATGAAGTTAGCTGCCAAAACGTTCTCCTGTCCCTATTCCAAGAGCAAAATTACTGAGTCATACTCCACTGCTGACATGCCAGTCTGAAGGTGTTTTGTCTGTGAGTGTGTGTGGTGGGGGGGGGTCATGGTGGTGGAGGGTTGAATTCTTCTCAGTAAGTGCAGTGTGCAGACATCTTTTAATGTAGGAATGCTGTTGCACATTAGCAGACACACGGCCCTTTTCAGAAGGTAGATCCAGTTCCAGTAGCAAGGAAATCTCAAGGACTGGGAATCTCTTTATTTCAGCAGCCTCCACCTGTTGTCACAGCCATTGGTATCACACAGTATCTTCTAGGTTTGAGGATCACCTTTGAGGACTTGTTTTGGATTATACTTTCTTTCATTCCTCCCTTTGATTTTACCGTCTTCAGTGGCCCTGCCAGGAGTCAAGAATCCCTGACAGAATCATTCTTGGGATCAACAGAACATTCTACTGCAGCAAGGTGACAATCCACAGAAAGGTACTAATGCATGAGAAACTACCTCATTAAAACCAAAACAAAACAACATATAATTTATCAAACCAGGTTTCATTCTGAGATCTGACTTGGCCAGTAATAGTAGTAAACATTAGCTGGGATCATGCTGTTGCTGGGTCTACATTTTTGGTGTCCCCTCATCCCTAATAGCTCAGAAAGTCTCTACAAACTGTGGGTCTACAAACCTCCTCAAGGGCAATTAGCAATACATGGTTAATGTTGGCTGAGCCAATGATGCCCAGAGCCCATGGTCACATATAAATAAAATTACAGCAGGTTATTTGTAAACTTCATAAAACTTTTCCTCATTTTTAATTCTCTCTCGTCATAATGCACTTTGACCATCTCTTGGATTGCACTCTAGGTTGACAGGTTTAGAATTAACATATGTTGTGGATTGTTTTCTGATACTAATCCTGAAAATGTTTTAAAATGGGTCTAAATACTTTCTTATAGTGAGTTTGGCGTTGGAGTAAGCCTGGAGGAGACAAGAAATCTTAATTATTTCTTCCTAATATGAACAACAGACAATTTGGAAACACAAAGGCAAAGCATAGAAAACCAGGCATTGGAAACAGAATAAGTATTTGACAAAAGTAGCATTTATCACATTAGAAATTAACTTGGAGCTGAAAGACCATAAAAGGAGGAAACCCTGCTAAAAATGCAGACACAGCTAAACATTAAACAATGTACTTGTACCTAGGTATAATGTAGGCACAGACCTATGTTGTTTAAATACAAATAATTATTGTAAATTTATAAAGATAGAAACAATCAGTTGCCTTTTACTTCAGAGTTTTCTCAAAGTTCAGCAGCAAAGATCCTGAAGAGTTGTGGTCTTGTCAAGGTTTCTGTTGTGTTCCTTAGCGGTCATGGGTGCACTTTCGAAGTGATCAAAGCATGGGTCCAGTTTGTGTTATTTACATGTCCAAAATGGTCTCAGCAATAAAGCTTTGAATCATAAATGCCCCCACATGTAAATGATAAGTAGTTACCTTCACTGGATTAACTTTGTTTTTGATTGGTTACTGTTCTAAATTCGCTAATATGGGGATATTATTATTTTTTGCCAGACGTACTTAGATTTGAACATAGAATATGATCATTGGATTGGACTCCATGACACTGTTGAAGAAGGGGAATGGCTCTGGGTAGATGGGACCGATTATAATTCAACAATGAAGTGAGTAGTGCTTAGTTGCATAATGAGATAATTTCCACTGTCATTACCTGGGCAGTAATTCAACAGAGTGCATCAGTTACCATATTAAACCTCTCACAATTTTATCTTGTTTTTTGCTCTCCAATTTATTTTTGTGGCTTTAATTCACACTATCCCTAGGCAGAGATAGTAGGAACTGCAGATGCTGGAGAATCTGAGATAACAAGGTGTAGAGCTGGATGAACACAGCAGGCCAAGCAG